CCCCCCCCCCCCCGGGACTGCAGACCATGAGCCCAGGACAAAACAACCATTTATTAGCAGTTTTCATGCCATATGTCTGCCTTGCCATGACCATGATATTTTCTAGAATTTTGATCGACTGATTTTATTCTCGCTGCAATTTGATTGGTCTGGCAAATGAAAATCTCATGGCACAAATACAATCATGACATGGCAATGGATACGTCAGACTAATCATATTGCTGGAGAAAAAGATCAGTCAATAGCCCTTTCTTGAATTCGCTTGGATGACCACTAAACAATGGTTTGAAATTGAGACTGAACTCGATTCTTTTATTCATCAAGTTCAACCTCAACTTGAAACCATTGTTTTGTTATTCGTCAAGCAAATTCGGGAAAGGTTATATTGTATTTCTAGAAAGCATCACAGTCACAGCACCACACGCTTATGGAATTGTGCCTTTCACAGTCAAGCAAAATCTGCTCTGGCTAGTAATATGGTTCATGGATATATATGATGTGCATTAAAATGAAACGATCAAAATGATACAATATATATAAAAATATACGATCTACAAACTTATGACTTAAAAATCATCTGTATGAAAGTTTGTTTAGTAAAGGTCAGAAAGAAATAAACATATCAAAATTGAAAACAAGTATAAATATCTAAAGTATAAATTTCCCTTTTTTACTGATCTTTCGTAATCTTAATAATCTGTTTTAATAGACGTCAAATAAAATGCAGGACGACCGAAAAAACCTGCTTTAAAACAACAAAATTTGTTTTTAAGGTAATAAATAAATAAGTAAATAAATATAAAACGCTGATCTTTACTGAAAAACGTCTAAATAGAAGTATAGTGTTATTTACGTTGTTATCGATCGAACGTCTCTACAACAAAGGTACACGTAAGCATACATTTGTCGAACGGAAGTACAGTTTTAAAAACATAGTGACAAAAACTCTTGTCTACTTACGCTCCAGTAAGAAGTAGACCAGCCTGTGAAAGGGTTGCTGTCCAGGATATCATAAGTTTTGAATCCATTAGATTAAAGTTATTTTAAAATGTTTGTTAGTGTGAGTTTTCGTTGCTACTGAATCAATCGCATTTTGTATTGTGACCGTGTGTCGAAACGAAGACTAAGTTCTAGTCTGGCCCACTAAAGTAAAAATCATATATCACAGCATCTCAAAATGTTTGTATAAAATAAAAAATATAGTATAAAATAGATGCATGTACTATGATTTCTATTTTTTGAGATAAATAACTGTATTTTAGTCGTTTTGTGGTGCGTTTGGTTTTGCAGTGGGGTTTGGGCAAGGTTTGGGCTACCTTTGGTTTTTAGCAGATACGAATAACGCCTGTCGGTTATTGAATTTCTTACCTAAAATAGCTTGTGGTATGGTTGAGTGGTGAGATTGTTTTTTTTTTTGCATTTTTTTTAGAGTATTTGTTATACTTTCCTTCAGTAATACGGCTACCACACACCAAGATGTCACAAGCAGTCGTTTTTGAAGCCAAGAAGCTACTTCGCCGTGAAATTAAGAAGCGTCTTTCTGCAATGTCTGCAGAGTCAAGAGCTCGGGAGTCGAAGCTAATTTGTGAAAAGGTATTGTGACGAGGGATTAATTTATGATTGCTTTGCCGGCTAGCTGCATGCATGGGTTCAGTGGTATTTTTACATGCAAAAAAGAAAAGAATACGAAAAATTCGGACTGCGTTTCATTTGATTAAAGAGTGAAAGAGAGTTTGGTAAAATACACCCTTTAATTGATAGCATGGATTCCAAAGAGAGTCAAAAGACAAAAATATGGTGGTCATGCATCTTGTTGAAGTTAACAAAAATAATGGATGCTTATGTGAAATATTTTGTTGATTGGCACCGACATGGTCGCAACAATGTAAAAAAATAAAAAATAAAAAATAAATAAAGAAAATACAGAAAAAAGAAAAAAGAAAAACTAGCAATGTGTTCAGCAATAGCAAAAAAATATTAAATTTAATAAAAAACATCACTATTTTTTTCTCTTTTTTTTCCTCAATAGATGTATATTAAATACAAAGTATCATAGTAAGGAAAGAACATATCATACGGAAAACATTAAAAAAACATTCAAATGTCATGTAAATAGTAAAGGAGGAGAGGTCTGTAAAAAAAAAAAAAAAAAGAAGAAGAAAAGAAAAACTAGTAACAGGCAATAACAACAACAACAACAATTAATGAATGCATGTTATTGATTGTAAATTCAAATTGAAAAAAAACCATTAAAACAAACCAGTTTTATGGTTAAGAAATGACTTTGTCTTGATAGATCTCCCCGACCGCCCCACCCCACCCCTCACATGCCCACGCTATAGTTACACATTTTTGAGAAATAGAACAAGTTTCTTTAATCCAAACATGATTAACAGACCAGTTACACATTTATAACATGCCTACTATTCTTTGTATTTGTAAATTTGTAACATGCAACATGTTTATGGTTTTGAAATGACTTTGACTAATCTCCCTGCCCACCCCTCTACATGCCCACACTATACACATTTATAACATGCCTCCTGTTCTTTGTATTTTAGCTTCTCTCTACAGAAGAGTATAAATCAAGTAGCAGGATCTCAGTTTACCTGAGCATGCCATCAGAAGTCAACACTGACTTGATTTTAAAGGTCAGTCCACCTACTGTGTTGGGACTTCAACAACACTTCCCTCAACTTTCAGGGACATTAATTTTAATCACTAAACACCCACAGGTCATGCTATTACTTATGATTATTAAATATTATATACCAACAGGGCACACTGCCATAATAGGGCCTGTCAATAGAAAAACAAATAGTTTCCATGTGCACTGGGACTGAACAAAACATCTTTATGCAATGTAAATAGTGCAGTAATTAAATATGTTTTTGTCTTCCAGGACATATTTGATTCTAAGAGGTGTGTATCAAAATGATCAGTTACCATGATGCTAACAACTGACTGTCTCAATAAGAATTTTCCCTGCTTCTGATCCATTGAATGAAAATAATAGTAAGAGTAAAAGACGACAAGTGATCCTCCCTTTGATTGACAGCAGCAAGAGCGCTGATTCCAGTGTCCAAACTCAGCATTTTAAAAATTGCAGGAATTATCTATTGTTGTTTATAAAATATTTGAGATATAACGTGCRCGCTGATTGGCTGGCTACCATGTTTATATCAGAGGACAGAGACACACTCGCACGAAATCATTCAAAAATATTTCATAAAAGCGATATAAAACGTCCGCTTGTGTCTATATACTGTGATATAAACACTCTAGGAGCTTTAGAGCACTCAAGAAGTCAAAGAAACACAATTGGCTATGCCTCGTGTTTCTCTATGACTTCTCTCTTGCTCTACAGCTCCCATCGTGTTTATATCACAGTATATAGAGAGTCGCGCACCATTTTATGTATGAATATATATTAATTAATGCCCACAGGAAATGTTTTATTCCTCGATATGTTGGTTCTAATATGGATATGTTGCGACTAAATTCCTTTGAAGAGGTGTCCACTTTGCCAATTACACCTTGGAATATTCCTCAGCATGCAGGTCAGTATTTCTGCAACACTTAATAAATTAATATAACAAGAAGCAAAAAAGTATTATTGGTTAAACCAATTTTTTCAAGGTCTATTTTTGTGGAGACACTGTAAGTGACACCAGTTTCAGAAAGTTGACAAATTACGATGTAATTTGAAAACTCAAGCCAATATTGGACAGAGCAGAATAAGAAGCAATTATTGACTTCAGTCAATGTTTTATTGCCAATGTCAGCAATTGATGATAACATCTAAATTGTTTTATAGATGTAGTATTCAGATCTTGATTTTATTGTTTCATATAGCCTGCTGATTGGCTGAAACCTGGTTGCTTTGTTTTCAGTCTACCTTATGAATGATTGTCTAATTTGTTAGAGAGAGTCAGGTCCCAGTTGGAGATTCTGCATGATAAGTTTTTGGATTTTTATGATTTTCAACAGGGCCGGGTTGTTCAAAGCTGGATTAGTGCTAATCCAGGATTAACTCTATAGGTCTTGTTAAGAATTAGCCCACGATTAGCACTAATCAGGCTTTGAACAACTGGGCCCTGGGATATAAAAATTTGATGAATGGACAATTGTCTGTTCAAAAATATACTTTTTTGACTAAGGCATGTTTTCCCATTTCAGACCATGTTATTCCTTTTATAGAGTATGATTCCTATGTTTAATGGTTGCACATATATGAGAAGACACATGATTATGGATACAAATCAAACAATAAAAGAATCTTTATATAATTTCTCAAGAGAATAACACATGGTTTGAAATGGAAAAACATTATGCCCACTCTCAAAAAGTCTATTGGCACTTGTTTGTCCAAAAGTCTCTTCGGCATTGGCTAGCAGTTCTCTCGATAGATTACATTGACTGGTCACATGCATGTCGTTCAGTTTGATGTGACTGTCCATCATGCCCAGCCATAAAGCAGGAGCTCTGTTAACAGTAACTTCTAATGCCAATTTATCATTCAACCAGATGATGATGATAGGGAAGAAGCTTTGTTAACTGGTGGACTTGATCTGATTGTTGTACCTGGACTAGGATTCACTAGGGTAATGCACAAAGTTTATATTTATTTATCTCTATTGGTTTTGAGTCCAGTTGTAAAAACAGATGTATTAAACTATTGCACCCTGCAAATGAAGCCTGGGGTGCCTGGGGGGTACTTTTGCCCGTTTAGGGTAGGGATGTGCCGCTGAGCCCTCTGAACCCTGACCCTGTTCCAGAGTAAATTCGCTGAAATTCAAACCCTGTTCCAGCGTAAGATCACTACCAAAAACCATACCCTGTTTCTGTATTGCAAAAATAGATACCCTGTTCCAGAGAGGAGAGAGCGTGATTTCATTTACCCTGTCCCAGTGCAAGCGCAATTTTATATACCCTGTTCCAGAGCAGAATCGCTGAAAACCATACCCTGTTTGGTGGCACGTACCCATATAGCGAAGATAGGAGAGTACCCCCTCCCCCCCACCCCCCCTGGGCTGGGGTGGGGGGTAAGGGACTCAAAAACACCCCTAAGAGATACCGCAAGTCTTTTCAAAAGAGGGTGGGGGTGATTGGAGGATCTTCCCAAGACTTACAATGAGCATACCTGATACTTTTACTACCTTAGAATAACCCTCACCCCCAAGGACTTGAAGACATAGTTTGAATGGAGATATAACAAGTTAACCCTAAAGAGATTATTTCCAAAGATTGAATTGAAATTTTGAATGAAATCGATTTTTGTGGAGGGAGGAAAACCAACAAACAATGTAAATATATTTTATTACACATTTTAGCCTGCACTATTTTGTAGAGCCCTTCAGGGCAATACAAAATACAAAGACAAGTGTAAAATTTAATATCCAATTGTATGGCAACCTAAGATGTCTAATTAGTTATTTATTATCTAATGGAGTTCACTTTTTCCAAAAAGGAGGCTTTAAAAAGAATATTTTTCTTTGACCTAGTTTTTAAAAACCAGTTTTAACTATACAATGCAAAATAAAATGTAATAAGGTACAAATATGATTGCAGGATATGTAGTTGTACTCACTGCAGGCTTCCTAGTATGATATTTGAACTCTACTGAGTATAATTGGATACTGTAACTATCATGTAGCATAGTTATAAATACTGTGATGACCAAAATGACTATTCGACCAATAACTAAAAAGATTATTTTTTGCTTTTCTACACAGGATGGTCACAGGCTTGGCAGGGGAAAGGTAACTATTTTTTTGGATGTTCAAGATATTTCCTGAGATTGTTCACAAGTTGATCAATATTACATTATTTGATATGTTCTCTATTTCAACATTTTTGTACTTGATTTTATGACAATTAAGGACCTGTTGATAACAGCAGCTGAGGGTCAATGACCTGTATATGTAGCAGCCCTCTGTGGGATGGTCTCGAAGGGGGTCTTGGTAGGAGAGGGTGCAGTCAAGGGCGGATCCAGCCAAAATTTTAAGGGGGGGCTAATTGAGTTTGGGGGGGGGGGGGGCTAATTGAGTTTCTTCCATCAACACAATGAAAAACAATAAAAAAAGCATCTAATTCTTCAGTTTTGTTTTGTTTTTCTGCTGAGGGGGGCTTCAGCCTCCCTTTGCCCCCCCTGGATCCACCCTTGGCAGTGGTGTAGCTAAGGGGTAACCACCCCCTCCCCCCCAAAACAAAACCCCTAAGCCTGTGGATATGGCAGGAAACCTATAAAGATGAAATTTGTATGCAAGTGTATTGGTGGGCAAACCAAGACCTTGCTCCTCCCCTGAGGTGCATTACTGTCTTTCCCATTCCCCTTCAGCTTCCAGACCCTACCACACCAAGGGTAGCTCTACATGCTACTGTATAAATGACAAAGTATATACTTACTTCTCATACTCATTAATAATTCATGAGTAATCCAGCCAATCAATGGGCTATCTTTTGGGTCACATGATGTTACTTGAAACCTTATCATGTTATCATGTTAACCTTATCATGTTAAACCTTATATGATGTTACTTACATGAAAAGACTGAATTAATTTTATTCATGACCTTGGACTGGATCAAAATTAATTCAGTTCAGGGACATATCTGTTCCTTAAGTCTTTCAATCCTAAACAAATAACTTCCTGAATAATCAATGAATATGAGAAGCCATTTCAAAGCCTCCAAATCGGACTGGATGGGATATCAAGTCCTTGGAATTAGTTCGAGTACTTGGCTGCGCCTCGGACTGGAACTAATATGTGAGGACTTGAAATCCTTTCCAGTCCTCATTGTCAGCTTTGAAATATTACATGTGTTACTAAGGTATTTCATGCTTTGGTCATGTTTGTTTGCAGGGATACTATGATAAATATATATTGAAATGCATTGAAATGTCCCACCAAAAACCTTACCTTATAGGTAATTATAAATAATGCCTTTTAAACATCTACACTTGGAGCATGAAAAAGGATAGAAACTAGTTATTGCATACTACAGATTCTTTTTTTTTTTTATCAATGATACATCTGTTTGTCCATTGAGTCATTCTCTAGTCTAGGAACAGTTCACTAAATCCTTCCATTTGTCCTTCTTCTATCCAGCTTCATGACCTTCCATCAATTGGTTAATCAATTCAACCATCTATGTATCCACCAACCCATCTGTCCATCCACTTATCCATCCGTCTGCCCATCCATCCGTTTGTAAGTCCACCCACCCACCAAATCATTCTTTTTTAAATCAGCTTCTAAACAACTCATAACCTGTCCTTTTGCTTCTTTAACTATTTATCCATCCATCCTAATCTTTCCTCTATCTATGCATGTTTGCATTCCTATCTTAATAAATCCATCTAGATCTATCCACTTTATCCAATTATTCTTTCTTTTCCTCATCATTTTTGATCAATCTTATCTTTTGTATTTCAATGAACAGGCCTTGGCTTCAGCTGCCAGATCAATGACTCTATTCCAATCACAGACACAGACATGACCATGGACAAAGTCTTATTCTGTCAACCTGATTCATCCACTTAAGACACATCTGTGCTTTATATTTTATAATCTGAATGATATAAAAACATTAGGAAATTGGTTGATTTTATCATTTCAAAACACTCAAGATAAAAAATATTAGCTTGAAATAGTGTTTAGATTTTTCGTATTGTACTGATATATAAAGGTTTTGTCGCCTTCAGAGGTCATTAATTAGAGGTATTTTCAGCAGTGTGAGTTCTCTCATAATAAAAAAAAGGACATGACACTCAGAGAAAGATATTTTTAATTATTTTACATACGCATACAAGTAAATATAGCAATTTTAGCCTCATATTCTTTCCTATTATAAAATACCTTTTGTCAACAATGACAAAATTTTTAGACTTTTTTTTCAATAATATTACTAGAATAAATAAAGAAAAAATGTAATATTGTACAAGAAGATATTCCTTGTGATGGGTTACACTCAAATAATAATCTAATTATCATAAGAGAATAAAACCTGTATCAATCCACGAAGAGAAGTAGAATAGCCAGCAAACGCTCAGAATATTTTTTAGTACATATTAAGACATATTATATCTGAAAACCAGGCCATTTTAGATTAAACTGTTTCGCTAGGAGCAAATTTTGTTGAATTTTCTATTGGATTTGGCAATTCTATCCCCCACATRAAMAAGCAGTGACGTCATAGTGAAATAGGGCAATTCATTTCAAAAAACCGATTTCAAAACCAGATTTTTTGTCCACAACCATGGACTGTGGTTAGATCAAAGGATTAGGGGCAAAGGCTTCTTTTTTTCTCCCTCTCCCCAAAAAAAGGAAAGAAAAATGGTTTTACTACTTATATAATGTGAAACTGCATGTGAAATATCTTTCAACAAACTTCACCAGGGCTCGACATAGAAAACTTTTTTTAGCCTGTCATAGTAAAGGAGCATGGTAAAAGGAGGTCATTCCAGTAAATTTTGCATGCCATTTTATTATTCATTTGGTAGTGCATCGTTATTTTCACCTGGCGAACCTGAAATTTGTCTTATCATTTGGCCATTGGCAGGCCTCTATTTCAAGCCCTGCTTCACATGCATGTGAAAATGCTTTTACAACTACTTACACCATGTGAAACTGCATGTAAAATATCTTATATCAAGTGAGACTGAATGTTAAATAACTTTCAACAAATTTCACATGCAACTGACTGCATGTCAAATACTTGCAGAGAAATTTTTTAATTTATCAAAAAAGAGAAGTCCAAAATGCACAAAAAAAACTTGATACACTAGCATTTATAAACAAAAATATTCAATTAATTAAGAACAGTATTGCAAGAAAGAACTAAACAAGAGGATAACTGGCTTTGCTAGCAACGCCGCACATGTTCTTGTCGTTTCTTGCTATTTTTATGTAACCTTCTTCTCCCCAGCTTGTTCCCCAGCTGCAAGAAAAGAAAAGAAAAGAAAAACAATGACTTAGTTTTAGTAGATTTTTTCATAGGCTTTCTCATTAGGCTATTCATAATAAAAAGAGATTACAGTTTTCACACATTTAAAAATTCTCTTTTTTACATTTTATTTTGTATCAGAATATTCAGGTAGAGTAACGTTTGTTGGTTCTCTCCTGTGTTTCAAGGTTTTTCMTCTCGGTTCTGCRGTATTTCCTCCCTCCACAAAAATCAACTTCTAAATTGCCCTATTTCACTATGACGTCACTGCTTGTTTACGTGGGGGATAGAATCGCCAAATCCAATAGAAAATTCAACAAAATTTGCTCCTAGTGAAACAGTTTAATCTAAAATGGCCTGGTTTTCAGATATAATGTGCGTTCCGTTAATATGTACTAAAAATTTTCTGAGTGTTTGCTAGCTCTACTTCTCTACGTGGATTTATACGGGTTTTAGATTATTTTTGGTGAATTTGTGTTGATTTGACCCCCTCCAACAACCATCATCCTTTGCGTTTAAACAATAGATTGTTTTGATGTGACGTCATAGTGAATTAGGGCAATTCTAATTTGATCTATCGGCTGTCATCAACTGTGTTGCAAAACCTGTACTGTTGGGCATTATGCCCTCCACCCAGGATCGGTTAGCATTAGTTGTGGTTTCTCATGCCAGTTGTGCTGAATTTTTCTAAATAATCAATTTATCTATCTATCCTGGTCTGAGTCCTTACCTGTTTTTGACAAGCCAGAAATCCTTTCCATCCTCATTCCCATAACCAACAGCCAGAACACCATGATCTAGTTGAACACTACTACATTTGGGATCGCTGTAGACACCCTTGCTGTAAAAATGAAATGAGCTTTGACTGGCATCAATGGCAATAGACACAGGTCCAACTGAGGCAACAGCAGCTCGGAGTGCAGATTCGTCACCTTCAGGTAYGTCAGAAAAACCTGCGTCTTTTGCTCCGATGTCGGAGGAGTTGAAGTGGCAGGTGCCATCCTGTGGAAGCCGACATAAACAGGTATAACCCCTTAGTATTAAGCATTATTAAAATTCTAGACTTGAATATAGAGTTTTGTGGGCTGTGATTGTTCAAGGGACCACTGATTCTGAGACGATAATCAACGCTGGAGCAGTGATTATGAGGTTTTTCAAATTTTCCAAAGCAGAAGTAAATTATACTAAAAGGTTTTTTTTAATCCTGAATTTTGTCTTTTCTCTTATATTCCGAGAATAAAATTATACTAAAACAATTATTCCCTTCAGGCTTAGTGATTATGGTGAATATTTACCTTGCCACTCAAAGACTCGCGGCTTGGAATATTTAACTGTTAATCACTTCCCCTTTGGCAACTAATTGTTAAATATGATTAAGTATATTACAAAACATATACAGTACTGAATCGAATTTGGTTTCTGCATGATATGTGAAACAAAATTATCCAAAAAAATTTTTGTTTATAATAAATGCACATTTTTTCAACCAATAACGACCTTAAATGCAGAAAAATCTACAGATAATTCATTTATCATGTCTTGTAAACAGGAATTGGTCGATCGTTCTTGGCCAATCACAGGAGAGACGAGAGAGGAAGAAAATGTTTAATAATAAGTCTTATCAGATCATGAACTGACCGCAGCTTTGTATGGATAGCTCTGCTCAGTATCAATTCCACCATTAGCCTTGATATATTTGAATGCATTATCCATCAGTCCGCCTTCACAGCCATTGTTACCAAATTTGTGGGAACAGTCCACAAGATTCTGTTCACTCAGAGACACCAGTTTTCCTGTTTTTCTGAAGTGTTGTCCTTCTAGTGCACCAGTCTAGGATAATCCAGACAGAAATTCATTAATTCATTCATGTTTGAGATATTAACTATCCTTGTCCTTATTTTGCAATAAGGGTAGCACTTGATAGCCAAATTACTCGGACTACATTTAATAATAAGGAAGTTCTTTAGAAATGCATCATACAAATGTCTCAATGCTTTTCACAATAGGACAGTAGTTATTTATTCCTGGTAAATTTATGCTAAATTTTGATGGCAACCAATTTGAATTTTACTATTGTTCTGCGGACTGACTAGCCTAGTTAGGTCTTTCCCTTGATTCAAGGATTTTTTGTTTTGCGATGGACATAAACTAATGTCAATCACTAAAATTCAAAAGCATCTCAAACATATATATTTGAAACAACCATGATGTCATTGAGTTCATGAAACTGTACATCCCTAGTCACTTTTACTTTGAAACCCAACCAAATTACAGTCTAAAAAGGAACATTTTCACCATGAATAAGAAATAAGAGTAAAGTGCAAATTATAAAACTTTTAACTCGTATGATACTTACAGAGCTGAATGCCCAACATGAACCACAATGGCCCTGATTCTTGACTGGCGTAACATAGCCCTTGGTTCTCCAATCTATTGACTTCACATCCTTTAAGTTGGAGGGAGCGAGAAACGTAACCACTTTGGGACCATTACTTCCTTGGAGGTTTGGGCTTGCTTTGAAGCCAAGTAACATGTGCTTGACTTCTTTTGATGTCTGAAATACAATGACCATATTAATTTTATTAATAAAAAAATCATGAATTGTACATGGATATATATATAATAAATATTGTAATAAATATTGATTGATTGATTGATTGATTGATATAGTGAAGATAATACAATGGTTTAGAAGATGAGGGATTGTCAATGAATCTTGCTAACTGACAAACCTTTGTCACATGGCAGACAGGTTTATTTGTATGAGAATATACTTGCTTATGTATGCTCGTTCAAACTCATTCCAAAGCACTTCAATACGAGGCTAGCCAGGTAAAAATATATTGTGCCACCCAACATGGCTGCCTCTTGAGGAAGGTCTATTGGTTACTATGAACAAACAGATTTGAATAGGTGGAAGGATTGAAGGGATAATAATTGGACAGAAAGATGAATAACTAGATGTAAAATTGGTACATTGTAGAATAGAGTGATTGAATAATGTAAATAGATCAGTGTCTGGATGAAAGAAGAAATGCATGACAGATACAGCAGTAGGTGGTCAATAAATGGGTGAGATGGATGGAGAGATGTATTAAGGATAACTAATTAAATAGTAGAGAGAGAGATGGACAGCCCTGTATGGGATGGGTTGAAGGGGGAGGGAGGTTGATGGTTGTAAAATATATTGAAGAAATAAGAAACTTGCTTGCTACATTGTGTGCAGTTATAAAGCACTTGGGGATTGGCAGAACACTCCAGAAGTGTTGAAAAGCATGATGAGTAATAAAAATACTAATTACAACAACACTGTAATTTAGATACTGTAGGCATGATGCTACTAAAAGTGCGTTTGCATGCTGTGTGCTCTCATATAGCACACGCTCCCAATCAATCCGTTATTTTATAATATTGTTTTATACATACCAGATCTCCTAAATGATTCATTGCAAGTTTAAAGCTGTGATGTTTTTCATTGTGAGTAACTATCTTCTTAAGATTACTTTTCCATATCATATTTCGCAGTTTCTCCTCCTCATCATTCTTGTATGACTTCTCATGGAATGATTTCCATGCTTTCCAGTTCGCATCTTCAAGAGGATTTGGTGTGGGGAGGCTGTATACAACCACAGCCAATGACAGCACCAAAATAATGCTTTTCATTTTTTCTCTATATAGATTCTAGATGTTAAAAATAAAATTGCAAGTTAATTGCAAATGTACAGTACACTTCACAGATATATAAGGAAATTTAGAGTAGTCTGAAGAGCTAAAGATCATCAGTGATAGATAAATAATTTTAAAATAAACAAGCAATCAAATGAATGAATGAATAAAAGAATAAATTAATGAATGATCAACGAATGAAAGAGCGAATGAGTGAATGAATGAATGAATAAATTAATGAATGGTGAACGAATGAATAAGTGTATGAGTGAGTGAATGAATGAATGAGCGTATGAATGAATGAATGAGTGTATAAATGGATAATTCAGTGAATTTATGAACAAATGGAATGATTTTCTCATATTTTCAAATATACGATTGCTTGATGTTTGGAAAATGAAATTTGAAACAAAAAAGGTGTGGTTGGTGTTAAGAAAAAAATTAAGATTCAATTTTCATTTTTCCTAGAAAAAATGTTGATCCTTATGAAGAATTCTAATCTAAATTCATTTGTTTTTTAAAAGATTCAAAACCATGGAATATGTACAACCTACGCGTGTAGTCGTGTTCATGCAGCACGTGATGTTTATCATGTCCTAAACACACACGTTACTCTAAAAAAATCCTGACTGATGCAATGCTTCAAAATATTTCTTAAAAATTTGGAAAATCAATCTTTTTAAGTTAATAAATGGTCTCAAATTTATTAGTGGAAAAAAATTAAGATTTAGCTCGTTGCGAGACAAGTTGGAGAGAAAATTGTTCCGTGTAAATCGCGCCCTAAGGTTTTCTTTCAACATTTCGGTTTCGTACTGGAACTTTGAAGTTATGATTAATAAAGTCAAAATAAAACACAATGTTATATAAATGAAAAATTATGTCAATAAAACACAGTAAAACTAGTTTTGTGTTTTCGTTTTCTCGATACAGAAAATCTTATAGTAAATTTAAATTAAATGTTTTTGGTTGTTCAATGTTTTGCCGAAAAAAGCCGGTTTTCGCGCGTGAATTTTGATCTTCAAAATATTGACGAAATGTTATAGTTTTGATAAAAATTAATACAATTGTGGTTTATCTTTACAACYAGTAGCCCGTAGGATACTTTTATGTCATAAAACTTACCCTTTTAAGGAGTAATTTTGGCTCAAAAACTACGTTTTCTGCGGATAAACTGAATAAAGTTGAAGAAAATGCACGTTGTTATGTTCGTAACCTTGGATGTGATTGGTTGATTTTGACAAAGCGTTCGCTTATTGGTTAATAAATGTTGCATACAAGATCACGAGACTTTCATCTGACTGCAGGAAATGACGTAACAGGAACCTTGACTACTACAACACCTGACCTGACTACATGACTAGGGAGCTACAACCGCCAACTTTTTAAAGGAATTTCCTAATTTTTTTCGCTTTCTGCTCAAAATAGGTTTCAGAATTAAACTTTAGTAAAGAAGATGGACGCAAAAGAAGAGTAAGTGTTTTTTTAAAAAAAATTATAAGGAACGGGGGGGGGGGGGGGGGGGGGGGGGGGGGTGGTGGAAACGTTTTTAACCCAACTTTTAGCTTTTGGTAATTTTTTTTTTTTGCATTCGTTTTTCTAGACTGATTCCATAAGTCGTAGTTTTCGCTCCTCTGGTTGGGTCGCTGTGTAATCAGTCTATCGTTTTTCACTTCTCTCTCCTTTAACTTGTTTTTATTTTTCCCTTTCCTCTCCTTATTTCATTTTTTAATTTCAAACACCACGTTTGATATCTATCTGATTAAACAATATTTTTTTAATTTCCTACTTTCCAAGTTATTTTTTAGTTACTTTTTTCGCGGACGAAAAAATGCACGAGTGGGCTACCTGTGCTAATTCCTTATTTTCCAAATATCATTAGACAAATAATCAATATGCGCCTACTTGCAAGAACATTGTCATACAAAAGAACAAAAGAACATCTCTGAAGCTGAACTCTAGCGTTTCGTATGTTCCAAAATCCAAGATTCTTAGGTTACTTACGTGCATGCTACGTGCATAGTTTTAACAAGTCGATACTTCCGGGAGATTTTACTTCCTGTGGAACAAAATATCTTTGCCAAGGGGAGGTAAAAAATCAATCTTTTTAGCCTTGAATAAAAATACATTATAGACAAATACTTTAACTAAGAAAATAATATCTGTAATCCTTTTCTTAAAAAAAATTCAATTGTAATTCATTTAAGTAGATTTTATAAGTTAGAAGTATTCTTTATTGTAAAAGATAATGTGTATTATCACCCCTCCCCTGGTGGTGGTTTCTGTCATGAATATTCAAGACAGAGGATGACATACTATATGACATTGAATTAGATGCAGAACATGGATGCAGAATATGGCAATAGGTTTACCGAAGGATTTCCCCTAGCGATGGCAGCCGATTATGATTTCTTCTAGTTTATCCAAATAACAGAATCTTTATGGGATGAGCCAAGTCAATAAAGAACCAGTCTCGCGACTGGAAGGTTTTATTTGTCCTGATTGCTTAGTTGACTTCGCGAGCGCCTCTCAAGTCCATGAACACTGGGTCAACTTTCACTCGACTACCAGCCGGGACAAGCCAAATTCTGCTCCAAATGTTACAAAGGTATAACTTCTTACTATTTATTTCTTTAGGTATTACTATATTTTAGTTATAGGCTTTTGATTTCTAATTTTTCTCGCCTTGCGGCGATTAATTATCATCAAGCTTCAACTCCACTGTTATCATTCAAACTGTGTACACATAAATAGGTGACCAATTTCGAAGCTAAAAACTATTTTTCTCTACTAATATAAGGATTACATATCCTGTAGATTCTCTAAGACTATGCCAGGTTATCTTTTATCATTAATACTGGGATTTCAGACATTCATAATTTAACGTTTCATTCCCAGGTTGGAAGCATGACACAAAATAGGAATTTGTATAAACATTCCTCAGCCATTGTCTAAATAAACTGTTTATTTTTGTATTGTTCTTCAAGTATTTCAAACCTTCTAGTTTAGTTATGAGGGTTTTTCATTGTCAAAAATCATTGTCTCTTAATAGCAGATTCACAGATTGTAATTGAACGTACTATAATATAACTAATATTTACTTGTGTTCAGCACTTCTCAAAGCAGCTCATATTTATCTCTTTATTATCATCGGAAAAATTACGATTCCTCTTTAGTCGTAGACTAATCTTATTCACACATTCTAGAGGAATTATGCTTGTCATTTTAAAGTGTTTTAATTTCCGTATGAATTTGTAAACCTTACTCGCGTCCTCGCAACCAAAGGTCATTCAAGATAAAGAGTACTGTACCGCAAATATATGTATCAGTTAGGTGTTGAAACGTGTCAAATTTGTCGATCTTTTACTGTATTTTTTTTCCAAACTTGTGAGGAATAGATCCTTCCAGAGAAGTCCTACTTATCCTTATTTCTTTCTCCAATGAGAGTTCTCGGAGCATACTGTAGTTTTTGCTAATTTTGTTAGTGACGATTAGTACTATTCTGCACTAAAAGGGTACTTACGTAATTTATACAGCAAATACAACGCGCCAATGGATATATGGTGAATATTGGTTATGAGCCGGTAGCATGAAACATAAACACAGAGTGATTATCACTCTTTCATGTGACAGTATAGTATAAATAAGCCGTCTATATTTATAGGGAGCGTTCATATAAATGTATGTGGTAGGTGCATGGGTCTGCATGCATGGGCGGAAGAGGGGAGAGCCCACATAGGTAGCGCGCAAGCAGTCGATGTAAAGTATCCATAAAAAGTACAATGAATCACACCTAATACATTACTGTACACCACTTTGTTAATGGCAGTTGTTGAGTTTTACAAAGTAGAGGTTCGTATATGATTTTTCTGCTGAGTCCTAACATGTCTTGTATCTTTTTAACTTGAAGAAATTATTGATGCTTTTCTTATGCTGAAATCATGAAGAACTTATGAAAATTAGCGGTGGCAATTTATGAAAGTGGTCTTTATATACAATAAATAGGATGACAATAGAATGCAATAGATTTTTTTAATCCCTATTGACATGAACTGAGTTATATTATATTATTTTATATTATACATGGATTTATATTATATTATTATAGCCATTTTCTGTAGTAACAAGTAGCGGGACTATCAAAAATATTTCTCAAATGTTTGTACCATACCCCACCATGGAGGAAATTGGAAATTCTGGAAGGGAAGAGAGTCAGAGAAAGAACAAAATTACAGAGTTTGTATGGAAGAAAGTTGGTAGTTACTCGGGGTAGGGGGTCCTTTTACAAATTCTAGAACTACATAATTTAAAGATTTGTATAGGGTCTACTAAAAGTCTTTAGTTTGGAGGGTCATTAAAAAATATGAGGGGCAGGGGGAGGGGGCACTTAAATATTATTTCAAAGTGTTAAAGCCCCACTTATCCCCACCCCACCCCACCACCTAACCCCATAGATTATGAAGGCTCCCTTATAACATACTGTTACATTTAACTCTAACTTTCAATGGAGTGGATATAATGTTTCTGTTATTGTTTCCACTTATCTGCAAAACTAGAAAATGTAAAATATCTCAGTCATGATTGGTAGTCTTTAGTTTAAGAGGATACATGTATGTAACATATCATACTGTATGTGATAAGTGAAGTGGCCTATTAACTACTTTACTCCAAACAGAACACCATCAAATTATATATAATTTAAGTATAGCACTGCAACTTAAAGACATGAGTACAAGTTTTAAAATTGGTCCTGTGCGTGTGGTTAACACTAAATGTGAATCGTAGTTAGTTATCAATTTCAATTATCATTTTTTTGCAATCTAAAATTTCAATCTACCTAGCTACACGACCATGACATGAAATAATAGTATCAATCTTTCAAAGATAAAGACTCCTACTCGTTCTTGTACTCTTCCTTGGATCTAAAGGTCTTGAGGGTACCCAGCATGAGGAATGAGACAAGCATACTGATGAATAATGACTACAGCATATTTGCTACATAGTTAGAGTATAAAATTACTTAAGAATTATCCTGAATGGGTAACCATATCATGCAAGCATCACTACCATAATCCTCTAGTTAAGAAATATATCAAGCAATTTACTATACTTTTGGGCTTTGTAATAAGATTTATTTAGACTGGAGTTTATCATTTCCAGGTTCAACGAGCAGAAGCAATTCAACATAATTTCAAGGCTAGATTATTTGAGCTCCCTAAAAAATGTGGTGTTTGCCAAGAGGTAATAGAAAACAAAGGTTTATTCTGTGATGGTAAGTATGCAGAATGAGATATATTCAACAATAAATTATTCGAATATAGGGGAATATTTACCAAGCTGAGATTCTCAACCTGATATGATAAAGATGTGATTATCGTCTCATAATTCACTGGTGGTTTGACCAATCACAGCAAACAAAACTCTATATTCAAGTATAAAAATATGCTAAAATGCTATATATCCAAGTATAGATGATTCAGCACATGTATAATGTGCATAGGAGGTGCCTGAATTCTATTAAATGCATGTATAAATTAGGGTCAAATATTTGCCTCAGGAGATTACTAGGGGTGGTTCAGTGATAGAGACATGCGGCTGTCACTGATTTGCTGTCGCTGATTTGCTGTTTAAAGGTGGACAGGAYGTTCAACAATATTGCTGGAGTTTGTTGCATGTGATTTGGCCTTCAGTTTTCCTTTTCCCTTTGGAGTTGGGATTAAGAAGAGTACACATCAAATATTGAATGTGGTGACATAGAGCTTAAATTTGACACCTTACTCTGCATGTACATATCTCACTTTAAACTTGTTTTTTCCTTGTCGTGGTATTAGGTTGTAATTCCGTCTGCCACAAAAAGTGTGAAACAATGGTAAGAAACCTGAATAAGCAGCATTTATCTATGCATTCGTGCATACCTCAAACCTCCAAAATTAAGCCCCTTTGAATTTAAGACCTCCTCAATATAAGCCCATAGGCCTATTTCTAAAATTTTGCTCTAAATACTCTGGTTGTCCTTTTTTCATAAGATTTGAAATCTTTTTTGGTGATATTATTCTATTCTTCTAACTAAAAACATGTTATCAAACCCTTGTCTTCCGTAGCTTCAAAAAATTGTATTTGGATAAAAACCTTGAAGATTGAATTTGTTTCGATTGTGATAATTCTAACTCTTATTTATTTAGGTTAAAGCAAGCTGTGTAAAGCCTTTGGCAATTCCTTCTAATTCCACTCACCTACAAATAGTAAGTTACTGAATTCGTCAGGATAATAAGATACAGTCTTAAATCTTCATTAAATACAGGGATTTTAAAGTGTTAAAGCTTATAAAAATTTCCACCAGAAGTCAATATATTTTCCATATGACATAGCGAAAAACTTCGTTGCTAAGTAGAATTGTTATTACGATTCAATTCAATTGACCTCTAATTGTACATAAATTCTTATAAATGAAATATTTGACAATTTTTTAAGCTACATGATTAAACACGAATGTTTGTAACGTTATATTGTCTTATCATGAACTTTAGGATAATAAGAGTGATAAATACATGGGCTATCGTCTTCCAAAAGGCCAAGTGAGTTTAAATTTTTCGTATAGAATGATTTTTTAGGGCAGAATAGTCAGGGTAATACACATTAGTAGACACGAATTCCATTGTTTTCTTTTGTTTTAGCTTTACTTTTAGTTGCTAGAAAGCTTTTCAACAACTCTTATTTTGTGTTTCATTCAAACAGCAATCTCCTGGTACTCCCAGAGGAATTGTCAAGCATCTTCGTCACATTGTATCAAAGTAAGTTCCATTTTACGAGTTCAACGACACGAGAAATTGTAACTTTCCATAATGTTTTTGGTTGTGTTATCATTTTGATAAATTTTGTCGAGTTTGGAAATGCAAAAGAACCCTTACGAACTGACATCTTTATTCGTGTCCGTTTTCCTCCTCAGGGGTAGAGTACGTCATGTTGACAAGCAGTTTGATCTGGATCTCACCTACATCAATGATAGAGTCATTGGTATGTTTTTAATATGATGCGTTTTTGTTTGAAAACGTATTACTTTTCGATGCATTTTGGGCTCGCGTCCACATTTAAACGATCGAGACGTTTTCTTCGAAGACGCATTCATTTGAAACATCGGTACAGAGTGGACATATTTGAAAACGGAGGCCTATCAGCGTAGACACAAATAGACACAAATACAACATTCATACCGGCACGTTTGTTTTTCGCATGCGCAGATAAAGATATATTGCATAATTCGATAGCAGGTTTCGATGCGTTCTCGATGAGACGAAAATGGAGCGTTCCCAAAACGTGTACGTTGCCTTTTAGGGCCTCTTTAGCTTGGGCTTAACATTTTACCATTTCAGACCACCACGTGTCATTCCCTAGAGAATCATTTCTTTGTTTAACGATTGCACACGAGAAGACACTTGAATATGGATACAACTCAAACGAAGAGTCTTATTCTCAAGGGAATGATACCTTATCTGAAATGGTTAAACATTCATGTAAAAGGTAAAGAGGATCAGGTTTGGCTCGCCTCTCACCTCTGGGGTCTCGGGTTTGATTCCTAGATCCGACATAACATGTGTAAGAAAAGTCTCTTAGGTCTCTTAGGTCCCCTTGGTTCTTCCCTCCTTAACACRATAAATTCAATTCCATCCGAGTTTGCCGTGCCCTGACCTTTTTTCTTGTTTTAGCTATGTCTTTTCCCGCCACTGGGCTGGAAACAACTTACAGGAATAACTTACGAGATGTGGCTAAGCTATTACAAACAAACCATCAAGATAAATATATGGTATGTTATTTTAACTATGACCTCTTGCTTAGCAGGCGGGGTACTGACCAACCAAGCCACACAAGTGTGTGAGGCCATTGGGGATCAAACTATTGACCTCTTACTTAGAAAGCAACACACTAACCAACCAAGCCACACTTGCTCCTTAAAACAAATATCGCGGTGAGGTCACTGAGGATCAAACTATGGACCTCTTGCTTAGCAGGCAACACACTAACCAACCAAGCCACACAATATCGCGGTGACGTCACTGAGGATCAAACTATGGACCTCTTGCTTAGAAGGCAACACACTATCCAACTAAGCCACACACGTTCCTTAAAACAAATATCGCGGTGAGGTCACTGAGGATCAAACTATGGGCCTCTTGCTTATTATTATCAGGCAACACCATAACCCGCCAAGCCACAATCCAGTGCTACTGATGTTAGAAGTAACTCTCTGTTTCATTTAGGTATTTAATCTATCGGAAAGACGATATGATATCTCGAAACTTAACAATCAGGTGTGTTTAACAAATGCTTAAATTTGAAATCTGCTTTTGTAAAAACTTTGAACCAACTTATCTTATCATTGGATTTTAGGTGCTTGATTTTGGCTGGCCAGATCACTTAGCACCACCCCTAGAAAGACTATATAGGTAGGTATAACCAATACACTAGTTTGGTGTTCTCTGTTGCTCAGGGCTGGGTTTTGTGGAGAATATTTATGTGTTCCAATGAATTAAAGTCTGTGGAATAGACCGATCCTGGTTATTTTGGAACTCGAGAATGGTCTACTGCATTAGAATTCTATATATAAGTGTGGAACAATAACGTTAGTGACGTTTTGCCATTCCATGACCGTGTCGCTTCCGTGTCTGACGATTTTTGTCCGCGTACTGCGACTTATCCAAAGGATGTCTGGAATCTCGTAGAGTAAGATTGCCGTGTGCCCAGGGGCGGGTCCAGGAATTTTTGAAGGGGGTGACTATTCCAAAGGTTTTACCAGGAATCCGAGAAAAAAATGGAGGACTGTTACTAAAGATATACTGAGGAATTTGAGCAAAATAGGGGTGACTAGTCAGCCCTTTTAGTCCTTGTACCGCCCCTGGATCCGACCTTGGTGCCGTTCACCTTGATTCAAGAAACATTTTGCTATTACAAATCAAGGGACGTTTAATTCAGCCCAAGCGCTAATATATAACTAAACTCACTGAAAAGCATCGAATTTCAGTCCATACATCGGGAAGACAAATATCAAGACACTGTAGAAGTTATGTTGCTTTGTAGTGAAGAAATCTTGAGCAATTCCAAAACTAATAGAATCACCATATATATATATCACTGTAGAAGTTGCCACAAACAGTGCTTGGGCTACCTGTGGCGAAAAAAGCTATTTATTTATTTTGTGATCAACGTGATGTTTTTATTTTCAGTATAATTAAATCTATTGACTCGTGGCTGAAAACCGATCCTCAACATGTCGTTGTTGTACATTGTAAAGTAAGTAATATAATCTCATTTGCTTTTTCATTTTTGCTCACTCAGTGCATTCAACTATAATGAAATGACTCACGCTGCCATTCCCCGTCACGTGATTAGTTCCCGCCATCGCGCGAAAGTGATTTTCAAAAAATGGCGGGAAATTATCATTTTACCAAAGGTTTTGTCGAAATTACTGACTCTTGAGTTTAAAACTAAGGCAGTAAAGCATTTAGAGATAGAAGGAATGAGTGAAAAGACCTAGTCCGTCCGTCCGTCCGTTCATTTGTTTGTTTATTATTTATTTATTTATATTTTTTTCCCCTCAATTACTTCATTTGTAGGGCGGTAAAGGAAGGACCGGTGTTGTTATATCAGCTTACATGCATTTCAGCAAAGTCTGCTCAAGGTGAGACTAGATTTGAACTCTTACCTTTCTCTCCGACAATACCTGCCGATTTTGGTTGAAAGATCAGGGGTTTTAAAGATTGCGAAATTACACGATGACGTACAGTCGTTTTAGATGCCATTTTTTAATGTAAAATAATCTCTTTACTCTTGGGAATTGAATTCTTTAACATGTAAGATGTTCACATTTTCCCGACTATCTGTCATAGCTATCGTCATGTGATCGCTCAAAACCTCTTTGACCTCCTTACCTATGGCTCAATGTTTTCCTATTTTAGACCACGTGTCATTCTTTCGAGAATAAGATTCGGCTTTGTTTGAGTTGTATCCATATTCATGTGTCTTCCCGTGTACAACCGTTAAACTAAGAAGTAATTTTCTTTTTTTTATATATTTTCAGTCCTGAAGCAGCTCTTGACTGGTTTGCTATGAAAAGATTTTACGATGATAAACTTGGAGGCGTCACACAGCCTTCTCAAAGAAGGTAACTGATTGTGAGAACTAAAAGGAAATGAATACGCTGTTCTTTCCATCTCTGTACTCCTTGGAAATCAAGAGTGGCTTAGGGTAGTGCACTCACCTCTGGGGTGTCGGGTTCGATTGCTGGACTCGGCATCACAGAATATAGAAAACTGCAGGAAAGTTTCTTAATCACTGTTTTTTTCTTTCCAGATATGTACATTACTTTAGCGATTATCTCGATGGGAAAATAAAACTAAGTTCTGAGTAAGTAGTCACGTGGTTTCCTGTTTCATTCAAATCCAAGTAACGGATCTATTTGTAACATTTCTACTGTGTTTATTATTTCAGTCCTATATTTCTTCACCATGTTATCGTACATGGAATACCAAACTTCGATGGAAAAGAAGGTAAAAAATGTAAATTTTATCCAAAGTTGCTGCTGAACAAAGATTGAGTTAATGATTTTCTTAATTGTCTTTATTGTCTTTATTTATTTTTTCTATTTTCTTTTTTCTTTTTCTTTTCTTTTTTCCTTTGTTGCATGTTTTTGCAGTCGTTGTTGTTGTCGTTGTTGTTGTTGGGTTCAATTTCCAAGCAATTTTTTTAGCATTAGCAATGACCGCTTCATTTTTTTTCGCGCGCCCTTGCGAACCCGGAAGACGCTAACGAAACACGTGATCCTTTCCCGCCAAAAGTGAAGATTTTATGAGCTTGAAGCCATCATTTTTATTTCGCCGAAATTAGAGCGGTTTAATGATAGCCATGTAAGGCAGAGCATTAAAAAGTTTGTCCTTCGGAAATAAAATAATGAAGTGTGTTATCTTCTTGAAAGGTTGTAAGCCTTTTCTTCGCGTCTACGGAGGGTTGAAACTCATCTACACGTCTGGCGTATTGTAAGTACTGTTTTATACTCAATATTAAAACATTCAAGAGTTCTTCTGTTTGTTGTGGTTGACAAGAAAAGAACGAGTGTGTTGATGCTAAACTTATATTTTGTATTTTTCATTAAATGTTTTGTTACTATTTTTATTTAATGTACAAGTTTTCTGAGTGACTACAGTAAATCCGTGAAACACTAATCGTTTCTTTATATTTGTTGTTTTATATTTGTTATATTTGTTGTTGTTTTTGTATTTTCTTTCGTCCACATAACTATAAATATATGTTTGTAATATAATTAAGACATAGACCCCCTCGATGAGCGTTACGCTCTTGGGGTTAATGTTTCGATAAAATATGTTTAAATAAAAAAAAACACTAATTACTAAATAGTACAAAATAGTGCTAGTTAAACTATAGAAAACAATGGAATTTGCATGAAATTGTGCTATTTAGTATTACTAAAGTTTCACGGATTTACTGTGGTCTCTACTTAATATAAAATTAGAAAAGAACTAATACTTGGTATGGTTTTAATCTTTATTTTCTAGCTATGTAACCCAGGACATGGAACGTATCTGTATTACGATTGAAGGAGGTCTTATATTACATGGCGATGTCATGGTGAGATTTGTTTTACACTTGCTTACTGATAATAGAAATCTTGCATGTGACGTCAAAGTAGGACAAAACAAAATAACTGACTGACTGATTGACTGACTGACCGACCCACCAACCGACCGACTGAACGACCCACCGACCGACCGTCCGACTGACTGACTATATTTCCTTGTTTTCTTATCAGATTAAGTGTTTTCACAAGAATACCTTATCATCTGGTGGTGACATCATATTTAGGTGTCAATTTCATACTGGTGCCATCAAAGACTACAGCTTAGTACTGGACAAGTCAGAACTAGATGAGGCATATAGAGGTAATGATTATATAGAGGTATATGATGATGATAATGATGTTGATATACCATACTGGGGGGCTTCTATCCTCCTCTTATAGACCCCTTGAATGTGACGTCAAAGCAGCTCGATTTGGAGGACGAAACAAAAGTTAATGACGACGATGCTGGTGTTTGATGACTATGATGTTGATGTGATAATGTATTGATGATGACGATAAAAATGATGATGCATGATGAGATGATGATGACGATGAATACGACGACGTTGATGATGATGATGACGATGAATATGACGACGATGATGATGATGCATGATGATGATGATAACGAAGATGTTTGTACCGAAGCTAGGGCACCAATGCACCATGCTTTATATGAAAAAGGTCTATCGTTTACCATGCGAGCTTGGTTCTAATATTTTTTATTTTATTTTACCAGATAAACGTTTTGCAGATAATTGCAAAGTAGAATTCGTTTTCTCTTCGAAAGGAAATTTTGTAGCAGGCAAGTCAAACCCTTTGTTTTTTTCAAAGTCGACTCTTTTTGAACGACCACTCTCGCAAGCGACCATCTCCATTAATCGACCACACGAATTTCCGTTTTGTTTTCTATATGAACATTATTTAAATTTATCGTAATAAGCGACCCTTTGCTTCTCACCCAAAGATGCGGGTCGTTTGAAGAAAGCCAACTGTATCAAATTTTCTGACCACAGGAAAAAAGATCTTATTTTCAACGCTTGCATCCTCCAAGTCAAACTTGCTTACTACAAACACGGCTTCCTAAAGACTAATTTTACGTTTTTGTTAATCCGACAGAAATCAAAAATAATGCCCGTCTTCAATCAATTATAAGGAATTCTTTACAACCGGTGGAGAACCCAGACACCGTGTTGATGATTCCTTCAGAAGACTGCCAAGACGAGGAAGAATGGGGAAACAGTGGAGCGAGTTCTTCAAGCAACCAACAAGAAATGTCAGACACACAACAAGGTACAACAATAGATCAAATGGATGCTCTCTAAGGTTGAACTCAAGAACCCGGGGTATAAGAGGAGATAGAAGCCCTAGTATGGTATATTGACAATTTCTTTTGAAATATTTATAAAATATCTAGTCCCCGGAAGCACGAGTGGCTCTCACGAATGCGGCTTGACTTTGAATTGCGGTTAGCCTGTTGTGTGTGAGTAGAATAGTCCCCTTCACAGTTCCCTGCCCCATCTTGAAAAGTTGCCGTGCCTTTGCATCGAAGCGAGAAGAACGGTGAGCATGCAATGATAGAGACCTTTTTTAACACCTTGGACAATATTCACATGTCTCCATCATTGCAAGCTCACCGTTCGGTCTCGCTTCGATGCAAAGGCGCGGCTACCTTTCAAGATGGCGCAGGGAACTGTGAAGGGGACTATTGGTTGTTGGTTTTCACCTTTTCTTCTGAATGGTTTTTTCTTCAGTCAAGTTCTCCAATTTTCCTCCCTTCTCAAAAGTCAACTTCTAAATTCTAATTCAATCTTTGGACTTTCACCCAATTTCACCCTTTCTAATTCAATCTTTGGAGCTTAGGGTTCTGTTAAGCTCTGTTGTCAGCGATTGTCCCACGCTGTGATACAAGCAAAGCTAATAGTTCCATCTTGTGTGTAGACTTCTTCATATCTACAGCTTCTTTTATTGAAAAATTGCGCAGATTTAGAAGACAGTCGCCTTCAGTGATTGGCATTTTTGAATTTATATTATAAATAAAAGGTTGTGTGTGACACAGCTATTTAAAAAAGCAGGAAAAACGAAAGAAGTCCAATCTTCTGAGAATTGGAAACCTATTGTTATGTCCTCCAGATTGAGCTGCATTCCAGAGTGCTGCAAGTGTTCTGTCAAAGGTTGTGTGTGGCACAGCTATAAATTTTACATTTAGGCATCGTACATGGGCTATTCTAACTTCCTCTTGTACTCAAGTTCTTTTACATTGCTTCTCAATAGACCTCAACGGACCATGATGACGCTTTCATACCTATACACTACTTCCAAAATCCTTTTCGATAGCTTTCTTCTTATGCTGATTTTCATCTGTTGTCTTGGTATTCTCAAAGGAGTTAACAATTGACGGAATATCGCCGGAAGAGAGATTTTGAAAAGGATTGTGATAGTTTAGGTATGAATCGTCTTTAGGGTTATATCTAGGTTCTGTCATAGCACACGCTGTACCGTCGTCGCGATGACGTAGACGTCAATCAAGACGTTTCCATAACATTCTCTAGGAACGTGCTCTTGAAAACATTATTTTTTCCGACAATGTCACATGGAGCTTAACACTTTGGTTCTTCTTCTAGTTCTAAACCCTTATTCGCCTCAACGGCAATTTGTATATAATTTCGCGCGTGTGACTGAGAACCATTGTAAAGCGTTTTTTAAGTCGCTACGACCAAAATATTTCCAAAACGCGGCAGATTTTAGCTTTGGTTTGAAATGGCCTTCTATAAAATTGACATCCGTCGAAGTCCTTTAAATTTTTGATTGATGAAAGTTACTTTCACCTTGAAATATCCCATTTTTTTACCGTCTAAACAATACGTGAGAATTGAATCAAATTATTTATGAATTTATATTTCTACTTATTTAGAAGATGAGAAAGTAATATATGGGGATATAATATTCCCCTCTGGAACTCAATAATATGTGGTGAAATATTAAAAATCAACCACRGCCCTAAATCCATTGTTTGATGTAGGTTCTTAAATCCTTCGGAAAACCAAGGGCGCTAGGACAGACGGATTGGGTTTTGAATATGTGTGATTGTTTCAGTTATTCGTAGATTTCTAATTGAAATGATATATGTTTGTTTCCAAATGGATACTAAATAGTGTTCACTTATCTTTCCATCCAACTGTCTTTCTGGTTCGAATCAGCTGTACGATATGAATATATTTACCAAGTCCACCAACGGTCTTTCTGGTTTGAATCAGCTGTACGATATGAATATATTTACCACGTGTTTTTGATATATTAGATTTGACTATGAGGAGTACTTTATGTATTCGATCAAACGTTGAGCCTTTAGTAAAAACAATAACAGTTATTTCGATAGCAGAATGAACCCGGATAGTATTCGTCTTTTTTGTTTTTGTTTTTTTGTTGTGTTGCTCTTTTTGATGCTCATTCGTTGTTCCAGACTCGTCTTAAATTAGCAAAAAATAACTCAATGAATGAATTCGTTTGATTTCTAATTCCCTGGTTAGAAAAGCCAAGAACATTTTGATAATATCTTTAGATCCCTTCTCGTTCTGTTGCCTTCTTTCTTTGCATTCCCAACATCTCAGTGATCTTGCATGCAGTACATAGCCTAATTCCCTCTCCACTTTTTGTTTATTCACCTGTAAGCTTGCTTTAATACGCTAACACTAAACGAACCTTGTGAACTAAATGAAATAAGATAAAATGTGTAATATTACATAAAATTGAGTAAATAAAGTTATAATCATTTTAAGTAAAGATAAATACATTGATTTATTAACGTAAATAAAATGAGTAACGAAAATGACTAAAGTTGTATATAGTTAAGCGTTGTCGTTAAAGTGTATGTCAAGGAAAAAAGAATTTCAAAATCACTTATATGTAAACAGTGTAGTAGTATGGTTGCATTATTTTTGTATTTCAAATTTCCTTTTTGGAGATATAAACATTTGAAATATCAAAATGCAAATGAAATTTATAGTGATATTTAAAATACTTATATCCGTGAATAGAGAAGACTACATACAAAAATACTGCAACCATACTACTACGCTGTTCTTATATAAGTGATTTTGAACATAAATTATTTTTCTTGATATACACCCTTTAAGCGTTCTGGCTGGCTGTTGCAGTAATTAATGTTTTAAATAAATAAAAAACATAATCAAGCAATTTTTTAGCTTTTTTTTTTTGTACGCTGGCTCGTTTTGCCAATAACCCATGTTTTTGGATAGAATGAAAAGAATAATCGACAGCCAAGAGAATATGAATAAGTAGTTCATATTCACTTGCAAGAGTTTTTTGCCCTCTTTTTACGATGTACTACTGGTATTCCTCAGAGTTCTACTCTTGGCCCTTTTTCTCTGCGGCTATTTTTAAAAATTAGGAGCGGCTGAGCCCTCCAAATGGGAAAACTTCAGTTGATTGGTGAAATTTTCAGAGCGAAGAAAATATTACTGTAAACAAAACTTATTGGGATGTATCATTTCGTAGTTAATATTAACTATGCTAAAACATCTTCGGCAGCCATGCAATTGAATCAAACCTATTTTTCCTTAATCTCAGTTGTGTGTTATAATATTCAGCTATTCAACCAAAACCCGTGGCATTCTAATCAATTTGTATTGTCGTACAATTGTGTGTACAATTCTTTATTTTATACAATGGACCTTAGTAAAAGAAAAGAACACATTTGTACAAAATCTGAAGGCTAAGACTGAGCAAATGCGAACTCAAAATGGAATTATTCTCCGTTAACATTAATGTTATCGACACCTAAAAGTAGTTGCCATATTACATCTTCATACTGCTAAGAGACCCCTTGCAGCACTTGGGAATGCAGCTCAATCTGGGGAACAAAACAATAGGTTCCCATTCTCGCAAGATTAGAATTCTTTTATTTTGTCCCCCAGATCGAGCTGCTTTGACGTCACATGCAAGGGGTCTATATCAGAATCCTCTTCGAATTCTTTTTCTTGCTGAAATCCTTTTGGAGTCGCAAGATACAGTGCATACAATATATCCGTGAAAAAGTTAACGAACGAACTTTTACAAAATAGTGCAAATTTTGTAAGTCTCAACGGTCTACTGAGGTCTGATCTACTGAACTTACTAATTTGTGCAAACTTGTGGAATTTCTTCCAAAGTTTTTCACGGATATATGATATGCACTCTAGTGGTGTTATTCAGACGAACGAAAGAAAATATGACAAGGATCCTGACAGTAATGGTATAAAACTTAATAAGGGCAACGGAGATTTCAGGGGCGGATCTAGGGGGTGGTAAAAGGGGTTATCCTCCTTTTCTTTTGCTCAAATTTCTCAGTATGTCGTTAGTAACAATTACCCACTCTTTTCCTCGGATTCTTGGTAAAACCTTTGTAATAGTTACCCCCCCCCCCCTTCTAACATTCCTGGATCCGCCCAAGGATTTATGAGGCAATGGATCAAAGATGCCCACATATGGCATGTGTGTGTCTTTGCTCTAGTAATACTGCCCAAACGTTCTTAAAATACGAATGTTAATTCTTGTAACGATTTTATTAAAATTTATTTTTTTCCGACAAGATTGCCTTTGAAATATTTGGTTTAGTGTTGAACCCTACAAATGAAGGTTTTGCACCATCACGCATTGGCAGCCATGGTGGACGGCAGGATAGTCTCCTCTGCCGCCGTCATTAGTTTTGGACTATTGGCAGGAACGATACGATCTATCGTTTTAAATAAGAAAGTATTCAATTCTCAAAAGTAAAGGGATCTTTTGTTCTGCCTTGTAACGTGGCCGCCAGGCGGGGTCAAAGCCAACGAATTCCATCTTTTTTTAATTCTTTTTTTAATTCTTTGTTTGAGTTTTATCCATATTTATGTGTCTTCTCGTGTGCAACCGTTAAACAAAGAAGTAATACTCAAAGGAATGACACGTGATCTAACATGGGAAAACATTACGCCCAAGCTAATCAGATCTAATTAAAATTTTGATAATATTACTCAGCACCATGGTAGCATATTTAAAAAATCCACTCGTTCAGGATATAAACAGGTATTGCTTACTCTAGCTGAATAAGAAATAGAGCGGTTTTTGAAAACCCGTGAAAAAATTACTAGAATATTTAGCAGTAATAAATTTTATAACACTTTAATTAAATAAACATGTGAACTCTGTAGCTGAAGCCGCACGCTGAAATTTGTTTTTTCGCTGCCGTCAATCAAAAATATGAAAGGTACCGACTGAATAGGTTTGATTGACAGCAGCGAAAAGCATCTCGCAGA